TGCAGAAAATTGGGCCCTGATCATATCAAGGAAGCAAATGATGAAAGCACAGCCTGTCAGGGCAAGTGTATGCATCCTCACACTGATCCAGGTGAAGCCCCAGGTAACAGGACTTCCGTATCTGAGATGGTGTGTTGACCTCCCAGATCAAGAAAACTTTAAAAAAAGAAAAAGAAAAGAAAGAAAGAAACTCTCACTTCCATTTTGGCAGCAGTAATAAATGCTTCACTATGGAAAGCAATGGACACAGAAAAAGAGAAATCAAATGTGCATTTCTTTCCTGGATTAGCCAGCTTTTTAGAAAGAAACTTTTTAGAAAAAAACTGGTCTCAGTTTCTTTATCTGTGAAATAGGGATGCTTGTACCTTGTCATGGGGTGGTATAGGTCAAGGAGATAACTTGCATATTAAAGCACCATACTCAGAATAGCTGTTCATTGCCCTGCACTGCAGGATGCAAACCTGGCAATTGGCATTGGCAATTTTGACATATTCTTCATAATCTCTGATTTTCACATCAGTAAAATTAGAATGACATGCTATACATAGAATTGCTGAGAGGGCTAGATGAGATGATGTACACAAAGAGTTTTATGAAACACACAAAAAAACTACTAAACTAGGGGTTAGTAAATGACAGCCCATGGGCCAAATTCAGTCCATCACTTCTGTGTGTGTGTGTGGGAGGGTATCACACACAAAAAAAATAATACCAGTGGTTTTTACATTTTTAAATGGTTGAAAAAAATCAACAGAAGATACTTTCATGATATGAAAATTCAAATTTCAATATCCATAGGTAAAATTATTGGGACATATCCACATGCATTTGTTTAGCTAATATCGGTAGCTGCTTTAGCACTGCAGTGGCAGACTTTACTTATGGCAGAGACCATACTTATGGCTGAGAACATCTACTGTCTGGTCCTGTGTAGAAAAGGTTTGCCTACTCCTAACTTAAATCAAATGTAGTGACAAAAAGTGTAGAGATTTGAGTTGTTTACTTTGCATTTCTATTTGGGATTGCTTTTAAGATATTGGGAAAGTGCCTGCTACATAATATAAGGATGTACAAGATGTTGCAGTAGATGTTCCTTTATTCAATTATTAATTCAACAAATCATTTTTTTGGTGCATCTTGTATGCCAGACACTGCTGCAAGGACCGTGGCATACAGAAGTGAACATAACAGACAAAATGTCTGGGCTCAAGGTGCAGGCAGTAAACAGACAAGTAAATAAATAAAGCACAGTAATGGCTAGGGAGATGGAGAATAGAAAGTTTCAGGACAGGGGTTGCAATATTTGGGCCAGGGAAGCCCTCAATGAGAATGTAGCATTTGGGTGAACATCTGGAAGACCCAAGGGAGCCCTGGAGATATTGGGATCAGGGAGGATGAGAAGCCCTGTAGTGTTCCCGGAAGTGACAAGGCTAAGTGTGCTCAAGGGATGCCAAGAAGTGGGTGTGGTGGGAATGGAGTGAGCAAGAGGGAGAAGAGCAGGAGATGAAGTTAGGAAGGCACCAGGCAAGCTTAAGCCTGGCCTTGAGAACCATCCAGGGACTGGGCTTTTCTCTAAGTGGGAGAGGAAGCAAGAGTTGAGCAGAAAAGCAGCAGGGCCTGGCGGGCACTGGATCCTGACCTGTCAGGCTGCTCCAGTGTAGGGAGGGTGAAAGCAGAGACTAGAGGGTGCCTCATTGTTCCTGGGAGAAGCAAGGATGGCTTGAACTCAAGGGACAGTGAGGGAGTGGTGGGAGGTAGATACATGGGTCATATGATTGGCCTTCTGTATCATTGATTCAACTAATCACAGATCAAAAATATTGGGGGAGGGGGGGAATTTCATCTATACTGAACACACACAGACTTCTTGTCATTACTTCCCAAACAATACAGTGTAGCAACTTGTGGCACAGCATGTCCATTGGACTAAGTATTATAAGTAATCGAGATGATTTAAAGAATACAGAAGGGTGTGCATAGATGATATGTGAACACCAAGCCATTTTATATGAGACTTTTGCATCTGCAGAATTAGGTCTCTATGGGATGCCTAGATCCAATCCCCTATGGATATCAGGTGATGACAATATTTGGAAAGTGGTGCCAAAAGGACCTAAGGATGGGTTGGGTGTGGGTTGTGAGAAAAATAAAAGATAAAGATGACTCCATGTTTCCTGCCCCAGGCTACTACTAGAAAAAATATAGTGGCCATCAACCTGGAAAGAGAAAGATGCAGAATAGGCACATTTGTCATTGAGTGATGGGGACGGGGAGAGGGTGTGTGCCKAATCAGATGCAGGGAAGTTGATGGCATGGAAATGTTCAGTTGGAAATGCTGCTAAAAGCACGTCTAAACATCCCAGGGCAGGTGTGCAGTGGGGTGTGGAATACTGGAGTTCAGGAAAGAGATCCAGGCTGGAGATGAGAATTTAGGAGTTGTCTAAGGGTAGGTAGGATGTGGCATAGTGGTTATATCTGTTTGGTATTATAGGATGATTCCATACAAATAAAAAAAAAAAGTACATTGCCATCCAATAGGGTCTGAAGAGTAGACCTCATCCCGACATCAGAGATGATCTCAAAACCTGCAAATGGAAAGCTCATTCTACAAAAGTGAATATCAGGAACAAGTATAAAAAGTACCATTAGCAATTATAATTTGAATTGCTCCCAGTTTGCCTAATTGAGGAAACAGTTTTACTGTGAGTCAGATTATACTGTCATAAGTTGATTTGCAAAGAAATCAATTATAGTTTTATGGTATTAAATTTGGGGAATATTGCATATTATCTCTGTGGAAATTAATAAGCCACTTGATGGGTACACATTAGTTAAGACAAGATTAGGAAGATAAAACTTCCTCTGATTTATGAACAAACAGAATGTGATGTATCAGAAGCCCACAGGTTAGCTCTGACAATTTAATTTCTACTGAGTCTCATAAATGCTTTAGCTTTTAAAAAATATATTATTTATTTATTTTATGTATTTATTTTTGCTAGCATGACCTCATTTTTTTTATTTTAAAAAATAAAACAACTCTGATTTTGGACATGATTCAAGCCATGGATGGACTCAATGACTGCCTCTTCTTCCGAAGGCACAATTTCTCCACTTTCTTTAATAGCTGCCTCCCCCAACCAAGGAGCCCTTTCATACATTCCCCTTAATCTTTATCCCATGAAATGTTTTATTGTAGTAAAATATACATCACACAATATTTATCACTATGACCACTTGTAGATGTACAGTTGTCATTAAATACATTTATAATGTTACATAATCATCACCACTATTTATACCCAGAACTTTTTCATCATCTCCAACGTAAACTCCCTATTCTCCACTCCCCTAAGTCCCTGGTAACCTGCATTGTAGTTTCTGTCTCTGAATTTGCCTATTTTAGATGTGTCATATAAGTGGAAACTACAACATTTGTCCCATATCTGGCTTAATCCATTTAGCTTGTTTTCGGTGTTCATCCATGTTGCAACATGTATCAAAAGTTCATTCCTCTTTATGGCTAAATAATATTCCATTGCCAGTATATCCAACATCATATTTATTCATTCATCTGTTGATGGACAGTTGGATTATTTCATCCTTCTGGCTGATAGAACATTGATGTACAAATATTTTAGAGTTTCTGCTTTCTATTATTTTGCTGCATACCTAGGAGTGGAATTGCTGAGCCATGAAGTTCTGATACCACAGACATAGTGTATATCTTTTTATGTGCATGCATTTATATATATACACATGCATGATTTTAGCTGTGTATGTATATGCTTTCTACATTTAAAAAGTAAGAGTGTTTTACTAACACCCCAAAATGAATTTTGACTTCCATGGGGGTTGGGGGTTATCTTCATGGATAATACAAGCTCTGAGACCCCAGGTTTCCTTCTTCAATGAATTTATGTGTAGGTAATGAATATGTTAGTACACTCCTTAAAGAGTGAAATCATGGAAAATGAGATGACCCCAGAATACATTAGTTTAAAAAGTAATTTTATTCCTAGTATACTACAGTTATTCATATTTTATTTGGTCTTCAAAATTGACAACATTCAATAGAGTAATGAACTCCAAAATATTTTTGAAAAACAGCTATGAACAGTCATGTCAGGACCAAGCCAGTGGCTCAGTTACTCTAACAAAACTTTTGAAAGCAGAGGCAATAGATGACGTTGCTGTTCCCACTGAGCCAAAAATATCTCCAGACACAAATAGAATGATTACAAGTACATATGTAAAATGGGGAGGGGGGGGACGGTGAAATGAACGTAGGATGAGAAGATCAGAGGAGCAGGAAGCCTGGTGTCTGCTAGGCTCCGGGATGGTCCTGCCAGCATGCGYGGCTCGCAGTCATGTCTGGTTGGAAGGTGGTCTGGCAGGATGCCTGTACATCCCCACCTAGATCTGGTTACAGTGTGGCTGCCTAATGCTACATTGTTTCATTATGTAAAGAAGAGATTAAAAAGATTGTATAACAGTTTCAAATACCTGACCAAAAGCTGTGAGTTCCTTCAAAGACAAGGAGAGGCTAAGGAGCTGCCAGAATGCAGACCAAGGAGACTCGCCTTTAAATGTAATGAGGGACCCCGGAGTGGGTCCTGGTACAGAAAAAGGACATTGATGGAAACAATGGGGAATTTCAGACAAAGCCGTAGTTTCATTAATACTGCTGTACCAAGGTTGACTTCTTAGATGTAGTGATGGCCCCAGGATTATACAAGATGTCAACAGGCTAAGTGGGACAGATGGGAATTCTCTGCCTCATATTTGCACCCCTTTCTGAGAGTCTAAAATTATTTCAAAATAAAAGGTAAAAACCACCAACCACCAGGTTTCTGGTCACTCCCAAGGATCAGAAGCCACACTTGGGACTGGCAGCTGCTGAAGCACGGTTTGATGGGGGCGTGTGCACTTGTAACCTAGCAGCTCTGACATCTGCCATGAGAGTGACTGCCTCTGTCTCCTTTCCAACTCCATGGCAGGGTGTGCTGGGTGCATCATGTCACCGGCATGTGGGTGTACCCCTTCCTGGAACACATTGGCCCTGGAGCCAGGATCATCTTCTTTGGGTCAACGACCATCTTGATGAACTTTCTGTACCTGCTGGGAGAAGTTCTGAACAACTACATCTGGGATACACAGAGAAGTAAGTATTTGGGGGTGGGAGAGGGAGGGAGGGCATAAAACAGGAGAAGTGCTGCCCACGACAGTTGATGCAGAGACTGAGGGAAAATTCCACAGCAGCCTCTCCTTTAAGCCTCGCGCTGGATCTCTTCTGAAATTCTCATTTTTATAATTACAATATTAATTTAGGAACTGTTGGAGGTTTTACCTGATAGGTTGACTACTCACTCAGTAAAACCTCCAAATCCATAAAATTTTATAGGGAAAAACATAGTATTAACAGGAAAAAAATATTAGAGACATTTGCTCTGGTTATCCAAATGCTTTCTTAGCCAAAAGGACCCAAAATTTAATAGATAAGTTATGAAATGTAGCCAAGAGGTCTTGTTAAGTCACCTGGTTGTCTACTTTCTTTTATGTGGGTGCAATAGTCTCAGAGGAGTCTCACCACCACATAATTAGCACCTCAGAATGCCTCTGGCCAAATGACTCTCCAGTGACTGTCCTCTTTAAGGTACGAAGATGGCAAAGAGGTACAGGCTTGTGAAAGGTAATACTGCATTGTTGCAAAAGCTGTCGTAACCCATGATGTGATTTCTATTTTGTTTCCATTTATGGCAGAGCCTCCATCTGGGCAAGACGTGTAATCTTGTCCAAGCTGTGCAAAATCTGTCCAAATTGTATGTAATATAACATAAACATTGGAAGGTGGAAAAGTGATACATGTGTAGTGATTTGAATCCTGCATGAACATACCATCCAAAGGCAAGATGGTGTGGGGATTCTAGAAAGCTCTGGACATCTCCAACAATCACAGCATTCTAGAGGTCACCAGTAACTGGATTCTGCTCCACAAACATTGAGCACCCCACTCCATGTCAGATACTATGCCAGGAACTCCATCTAATACACAAATAAAGCACAGTGATTGCAGTTACTGATTCAGGCATTTTTTGTGTGAATCTTCTAAGATTGTGTGTGTCAAGGTGTTAGCCAATGCTAAATGGCCCAGAGGAATTGAGGGTTTACTTTCTCAGCTTTTCTGTTTGATGAGTAGTCTATTGAAAAGATGTCAAAATTTTTTATTCAGTTCAGGCCACAGTTTGGGGAATCAGAAGTTATCTTTTAATAATGTTCCCTCTGTTTGATGGGAATAATAATCTTTCTCTATTAGTTAATTTATATAATTTATAGAGGCATTTAGTTAACTGAAAATATTTTGAAAACAAAATTAAGCTTTTTTTTCAGATTCTTGTAAGGAAAACTGTATTCAGATTTAATAGTCCAAGACAGGAAATATTTATGACTGTCTGTGTCCCCTTGATTTGTCTGACAGTCATTTGATCATTTTTCTAATACTTTTATGAGGAAATGGCCTAAAAACCAGGAGTGATAAATATCCATTCTAGATTAAAATAATATTGCTTTTAACAACTTTGAATGAGGAGTTTAAAATGAATAGTGAAACTAAGACTTTTTCAAATGGTCTGTTCACTTTAATTGTCCTATTCTGTTAAGGCACTTGAGTGAAGGCTAACTTTTTATAACTCATCTCAGGTTTGAAATTAATTTCGTCTACTTCTCTCTAGTTGATTCCGTTGAGGCTGATGTTTTGTGTCAGGTAGGTATCTTCCCATTTACAATAGGGGATCACAAAACTGATCACCTGCCCCTAAATTGTATCCACCAAGAAGTTTCACTAGGCCTACATAGTGGGGCTTTGAGTTTGGAACCATCATTTAAAACTTGGGAGACTTCACATAAAGGCCAGGCTTCAAATTCCTATCAAATATTTTAAGATCTAGGAATACCAAGCCCACTGTTCTCTCTATCAACCAAGAATTAGAATTGACTCTCTGCTTTAGATGGCTCTCTAATTTTCCCTAATTCTCATCTGGCACTTTACTTAGTTTCCTGGCTCATTAGTAGTTGACTTTTGAAACTGCTGATTGAACACGGAGTGTGAGTGTGTGTGTGTGTGTGTGTGTGTGTGTGTGTGTGTGTGTGTGAGTGTGTGTGTGTTGAATACAGTGGCATACAGTGTATCATCACTACCCCACACCAGTTACTACAGAATCCTCCCAGAAGAAGGAACACTGCACATGAGCCCCCTTCCCTTGCTCCATAATGGTTTTTGTGACTTGAGTTCCTTGACTTAGTTTTGTCAACTCTAACTTCAAGAAAAAATCACATGATTGCATTATTGTGTGAGGTTATTGCTGAAAAAAGAGATCAGGAATCATCTAAACCAACCTTTTCCTTTTATCAAAGTCAGCTGAGGCTCAGAAATCTTAAAGCCCCCAGAGGGTCATACCAAAATAGAGGGACCTACCAAAATAGTTGGTGGCAGAGCCAATACCTTCTAGCCAAGGTTCAGTCCAGTGCTATTGCTAGTGAAGCATCAGCACATCATCATGTTTAGAAATCCAGACATATGAGAACTCAGAGACTTCATCAGAACCACAGACCTTGCCTATATAATTGCAAAACAGGCTAAGCTGATAGGAAACATAAATTTTTAAAAGCCCTTAAAATAGGCTAAGTTAAAAATCAAGCATTTGCTCTTTTTATAATTAAGTAACTCAAGATGGTTTCATGGAAGTTTAGTTTACTAAGACTGTGGGAACAGAGTCCCACAAGCTGGGTGGCTTAACGACAGAAATTCATTAGCTCACACGTCTAGGGACCGGAAGTCCAAATCCAAGGTATTGGCATAATTGGTTCCTCTGTGAGGGAAGTATCTGTTCCTGATGTCTCCTTGGCTTACAGTTACCCATCTTCCTTTACTTGTGTTCTCCCTGTATGTGAGATAGCTCCCCAACTTCCCCTTTTTTTGAGGACATAAGTCATATTTGATGAGGGCCCAGGGCCCACCCTGATGACTTTCATTTAATTTTGTGAAGACCCTATACAAAAAAGGTCACATTCTGAGAATCCAGCGGTTCAGAATTCAGCATGAGAATTTTGGAGGGACATAATTCAGCCTATAATGCTCCCTGCCTCATAAAATTCATGACCTTCACACGTGCAAAATACATTCCCCTCATCCCAGTGGTCCCCAAAGTCCTTCCAACATCAACTCTTAAATCCAAAATCTCATCTTAATATGGTATCAATCAGGCATGGATGAGACTTGAAGTATGAGTCATCCTGAAGCAAAATTATTCTCCAGTTGCATGGAAACCTATGAAATCAAATAAGAAATTACCTGCTTGTAAGACACAATGGTGGGAGAGAAATGGCAGGGGAAAGAAGGCCCCTGGTGGTTCCCAAGAAAGTCTGAAAGCCAGCAAGGAAAATCCATCAGATTTGAAAGCTTGAGAATAATCCTCTTTGATTGGCTGCTCTGTCTTCAGGGTTCACAGGGAAGGGGGCGTGGCCCTGCCTTGGGCCCAGCAGTAGCTCCACCCCTTCAGCCTGGGCTACAGCCCCACCCTCTGGAACCAGGAGGCAGTGCCTGAGCCATCTTGACCAATGATTTGTCTCCTTCATTTCTTTGTGATTGTCCAAAATGACAGTGTCTCTGCTGGTAGAAAATCCCGTCCCCCCCGCCCCCCCCCCAAAAAAAAAAAAATTGGCCTCTGTGCGATCGGCCAAACCATCAGAAAAGAGGGTTAGGACTTTCACACATGAGTTGGGAAGGAGAGCCTGAGAATGCAGAACCCCCCTGGCCTTTCTTCTCCAGGTCATTTCTTGCCTGGGCCCTGCAGGCTGGCAGTGTCAAAGTACTGCCCCCTGGTGGAGCCCCTGTTCCAGCCTGAGGACACACCTAAATGCCTCCCTCAAGGACAGTCTTGTCCTGGTGTCCTGCATCTGCAGCCACCATCAGCTTTGTGACAGGGTTCTTTCTGCTTTGTGTGGATACTATACGCCTGGTTCTTCTAAACAGTTATTACAGCTGTCTAATTTTTCACCTCAATCTCACAGCTGCCAAACCAAAATAGGTGGGGAGCCATTTTCCTTCTCTAGATCAGAGAATGCTCCCTGTTCCCCACTCCCGCTTCTGAAGATTCCGCCATGCTGCCTCCTTGGCCCATTAGCAGAAGAGGATTTGGAGGAAAAAGACATTAGAAAGCAAGTTCATATTAGTCCCCAGTACCTTCTCCACGGACAGAGAATGTGGGCCAGAAGTTGGAACTCGAATCTTGTGTGCAGTTTGAACAGAATCGGTTATTTGCCTTAGCTACCAACAGGGAAGCCCTCTTCCTCCTCCCTCTCAATGTCCTTGTTCTTCAAAATGAGGTTTCTCGTAATCTGAGAAGTAATTTGGAAACAGTGTTGTAGTTCCTGAGTTATGAGAACCAAACACAAAAGACTGTTGAGGACACCCACTACCTCCCCCTGACCCCACCAAACAGACTAGGAGCTGGGAGTGGGAGTTGGTGGGGAGCCAATATGGGCTCTATGACCCTATGGAGCTTTATGATTTATTATATTGTGGAGGCCCATGTTTTGTTCTACTGCTTTCCTGCAGTTCCAGTCTTCTGAGGCCTTCTTTATATGCATGGTTTCTTAATTTATTCAGTGACGATTGAGTACCTCCTATGAGACAGACACTGCATATTGGATGCTAGAGATACAATTAAGGGCCCTGCTCTCAGAGAGCTAGCAATTGATAAAAGAATACTACTAAAACCTGGAAAGCGGTATTCTGAATTCTTTAATTCCATCATTGCTATTGAAAGCAACATGCAAAAAGTCTCTGAAAATTTGGTAACATGAGAAAAAATGTTTAACTAGGAGCAAAAGAAAAAAGTTAATTATAATTTATAAGAATGACTCCAACATATTTATCCCCAGGAAAATGAAAGGTTGCTGCTGGCTATACACCAAAGACAACAGGCAGATCTTACTAGTCTAGTACACACAAATTCTGCAGGAGGAAAAGAAGAAAAGTGTAGGTCTATCAGCAGCAGGTTGAATAGAAGGAAGACTTGGCTGGGGTGTAGCCTAGTGATGGGCACTTGTGTAGCATGCATGACCCACTGGGTTCCACTCCTAGCATTGCAAAAATGTCTTTTAAAAAGTACACACAGGTATGGAAATAAATAGTTCTTGTGACTAATAAGATCCTTATGAGCTTTTTAAAATATAAAAATAAATATTTTTTTTAAAGTCTTAACTCTTGGAAATCCAGAGTCCTTGCCTTAGGAAGAAACAGGACTAGAATAAAAATAAATGAAGTCCATTTGAAATACATCAGCTGCACGGCTTCTGTTGGTCAGGTTGGGGTTTTCACACAAACTCAATGGATCAAGAATCAATGGGTGCTCCTCACCCACAGAAGAGAGAGAGCTGGCTGTGCCCCGGAGGTGTTGTGTCCTGATTCAGGGAAAGGTTGTGCAAAGAAGTGACTGAGGATGTTTCTGGGAAAAGTGGTACATGGCTTTCCTTTTCCGTTAAGAGAAAAAGGGGGAGCAGTCTATAGGAAGGTGGGGAGATGAGAGTTTTGTGAGCAGTTTTGACACATCTGATCCTAGTTTAATCTGATGCCCAAATAAAGAACTTTCTTTATATTTCTAGGTATGGAAGAAGAGAAAGAGAAGCCTAAACTGGAATAAGATCCAGGTCTAAACAGAAAAGCAGGATTGAATCACCACTGAGCTTTGTCACCTCCAGCATCTGCAATGTAGAACAGAACCTCACAAGAGGCAATGTCATCAGCCCCCACCTCCCTGCCCCAGAGGGAGGGCACTTTTTATACACAAATATGCATACAAATAGAATACAGTGCTTTCCAAAAATACTTTCACCTTGGCTGTGTTTTAAAGAATTCTTTCCAAATTCATTTTTGATAATAACATCTTTTTTCCTTTTCTAGCTTTAAAACTAAAATTGATCATTGGATTTTCCTTTTTGCAATTGTAACTCCATTTAATCAAGGAGGAATAAAATTCTATTGTGTTTCTTGTTGAGAAATATTTCAAGTCAAAGGGGGGTATGTGGAGCAAGGCATGAGTGTATTTAGTCCCAAAGGAGCTGGAATAACACACCTAGGCCATCTTGGGGGCCTGAGGGGAAGCAAGACATATGGTTCCAATTGCAATTAAGTCACAGTCACCTCATCCGGGCAATGTTAGTAATAATTACATCAAATTAGTCAAAACCCTGAGTGTACTCAATCTCCTGATTTAATCTTGTGAAACTCCCTTGATGCAAACTTTAATAAAGACCAAGCAACCCCAAATCCGATGTTCACGTGGTGTTTCTCAAGATCCTAACAACACTGGCATCTCCTTTCTTATTCTGCATTATCACCTGTTGAAAGTGGGTTTACTATACCTAGTTCTTTCCTATACTTTTTCTGACTTAGAAAAAGTGTAGATGGCAATTCCAAAAAGGAAAACTTTCTCAATACTAGCTTATAAAATCTTGAGACATAATTACTTTTTTGCCTCTGTGTATTTATTTTTAATTAGTGCATTATAATTATAAATAATAGTGGGATTCATTGCTACATATTCATATGTGCACATAATTTGGTCAGTTTTATTCCTTAGTACCGCCACACCTCCCTCTCCCTGCCCCCAGTCCCTTTCTCTACCGATGACCATGATTAATTTTAAAGTAGAAAATGGAATGCTATATAAATTATAAAGTAATACCTAACACAAATATAGGTGCTGGTTGTCCACCCTGAGTTGGATCAGCAAATGATATAAAATAATTTACTAGAAAAATTATTATTTAAAGCTGGGCATGGTGGTACACACCTGTAATCCTAGTGGCTTGGGAGGCTGAGACAGGAGGATCACAAGTTTGAAGCCTCCCTTAGCAACTAAGTGAGACTGTAAGCAACCTAGTGAGACCCTGTCTCAAACTAAAGCATAAAAAGGGCTGAGTGTGTGGTTCAGTAGTTAAGCGCCCTTGGGTTCAATCCCTGCTATCACAAAAAAATAATTATTATTTAATTGATGATAATATAATTTTTAAAATGCTTGAAATATCTCTCCCCCTCTCTTTCTCTATCTTCCCACCACACACACACACACACACACACACACACACACACACATGCCTATACCTGCACAAATACCCTAACATGCACATACACATACATTCTCTTCCTCTATTTATTTTTTCTTAATTACAACCCCTTCCTAACTGAGGCTGAGTATTCCCATTGGCAACTGCCAAGGGCCCAGTACCCACCTGCAGAGGAGAGAAGGTTCTAGGATGCTCCTGATAATTTACTGAAGATAATTCAAAGTAGATATACTTTAATAGTAAATGTGTTTGTACTTCACAGTACATACATCCAATTTTTAACATACTACTCATTAAAACTTCTAGCCTGAAGAAGGAAAGTTCAGTCAGTAACTACAATAATGTAGAAAAGTAACATATCATAAAATATTACAAAAGAACTCTAACCAAACATGTCAATATCAATAAACATAAAAGAGTATTCATATATTAAAAGAAAAATATTTTTAGACTACATCTCAAAGGCAAATCCAACTCTATTCTATATATTGCAAAACAGACACAAAGTCATTCTGAAAGATAGAAAAAATAGCCAAAATACACCTGAAAATGGTAAACTAAAACAAACAGTGATTTAATGTGCAGTTCAAACCCAAGTCCCTCATGGTGAGGCACTCCATGCCCCCCACTTTTTAAATTTTGTTTTTATTTTTCTTTTTTTTATTTGTTTTTAGCTCTACATGACAGTAAAGTGAATTCTGACATATCATACATACCTGGAGTATAACTTCCCCTTCTTATGGTTGTACATGATGTGGATTTTCACTCGTGTATTCATATATGAACATGGGAAAGTTATGTCTGGTTCATTCTACTGTCTTTCCTATCCCCACCTCCCCTCCCTTCCCTTCATTCCCCTCTATCTCATCCAAAGAACTTCTATTCTTCCCTCCCCCTCCCTTATTTTGAGTAAGCATCTGCATATCAGAGAGAACACTGGGCCTTTGGTTTTCTGGGATTGGTTTATTTCACTTAGCATTCCTTGGCCCTTTTCTGAAAGCACAGTTGATAGAATCAGACTATCTGGAAGAATCACCATACTGACTCCCTAACTCTCAGAGTTGGAACGAGGAAGTAGGAAAGGTCAAGCAAAAATCTACCAAAAACAGAAAAGCAATGCCACATTTTGAAAGTGCCACTATCAAAGACTTACAGAGTTGGTGATTGCCATCACAACCACACTCAACTCACCTGTTTGACCCGTAGTAATGTGTTGATTTGCATCCTTCTGCAGTTCCTATTGTTGAAGCCCTAACCCCTAGTACCTCAGAATGTGACTATTTGGAGATAAGGCCTTTAAAGAAGTGATTACGTTAAAATGAGGCCATTAGGGTAGGCCCCAATCCAAAATGCTGGTGTCTTCATAAGAAGGGAATATTTGGATGCACAAAGATACACCAGGATGCTCAGAGAAAAGGCCATGTGAGAACCAAATGCAAGCCAAAGAAAGAGGCCTCAGAAGACACTGCAACCTGCTGACAGCTTGTTCTTGGACTTCCAGCCTCAGAACTCTGTGGAAATAGATCTGTTGGTTACGCCCCAGGCTGTGGTTATTATGGTAGTCCTAGTAAACTAACATTGCTGTGCATAACAAACTAATGGCTTTTGGAGAATGGTAATGAGTTATTATAAACTCACTTAGGTGGTGACTCCACTTACAGGAACTCTTCCGGATGAAAGGTCCTTTTTTGTAGGGATAACTCAATGCAAGCTCTGGTATAAAGCTATGAAAATTTTCTTCTACAATGCAAGGACAGCAGTGTGCCTTCTGGCAGTGTATCAGTGACCTTGGTTGTCTAATCATTGCATGGGCCATCAAGCCTCTATTACTCTGATTAAATTATACTCCTTGCAGGATGCAACACATACCCTAGAGACCTTCATAAGCCACATGCATGCCAATAGGTAATAGATAAATGGCCCCTTCCAAAATAAACATGCAGGAGCCATCCACCTTTATGAAGTTTCTGGGGTTCTCGTAATCCATGTGAGCATGACATTACATGCCTCTAAAGTGAAATCCAAGGTTTTCATGCACGCAAGACCATGGGGTCTTATTGGATTTTTGAAGGAAATATGTATCACATTGACTATGTGGTTCCAAACCCTTGACCACAGAGAAAAAATAGAGCTTTACAAATTAAAATGAAAAGGTAAAAATATCACACTTTTGTAATGATATGATTTTAAACAAACACACAAAACCTGATCTGATTATTTCTTACCACTGACACACTATGACAAAACTTAATGGCTGAAAACATTTACTTTGCCAAAGAATTGGCCACATGAGCAGGGTTTAGTAGCATGAGCTTGTTAATGGGGATTGTATCTGCCAAGGTGACTTGAAGGCTGGAGCTAGAGCCATCTAAGGGCTTATTTATGTGCGTGTCCAGTGATTGTTGCTGGCTCTTAATTGAGACCTCAGCTTAGGCTGTCCCTAGAACAGCTACATGTGTCCTTTTCGTGTGGGGGCTGGCTTCATCCTATATAGTTGACTGTCATTTTTATGTTGGCTTTGATGTAATATAGTGGCTGGGTCCCAGCAAATCCAGGTAAAAGTTATGTTTCTTAATATGGCTTGGCTTCAGAAGTCTCAGAGTGCTTCTGCATTTATGACAGACTCGAGGGGAGGAAACATAGACTCCCCGTGTCTTGATGGAGAAGTATCAATGTTACATTGTAAAAAGAATATATGGATTTAGGATATATTATTGGTGTCTAGATTTGGAAAAAAAGTAAACTGGAAAATGACTTAAGAATTAAGATAGTATGGCAATAGAATATAAAATTAACACACACAAATCAGTAGTTGTCCTACATACAAGATGTAATGGAAAATCATGGAAGAAAAGTTCCCATATGCAATAGAAACAAACTTAAAAAGAAAATTATGAAAAATTATGTAAGATAAGATTTTAACAAGTAGCAACACATGTCCTGTTCTTAGAAAGCCTAAAGTTTATAAATTCAGTATGAACTGAAAGTACCCATCATTTTATTTATTTATTTGTTTGTTTGTTCGTTTGTTTCTAAAACTAGGTAAGTTAATCCTGAAACATCATGTAAAAATCAACAAGTGTCAGGAAAATTCTGGGGGAAAAATAGTAGCAATAAAGGAGCAGAAAACTAACCCAACCAAATATTAAAATAAAAGCTTCTCTAAATAAAGCAGTGTGAACTATGAAACAAAATGGAAAGATCAATAACAAAAATAAATACATATGGGATTTTGGAATATAGATAAAAGTTGTACCTCAAATCAGTGAGGAAGGATGGATTATTCAGTAAATATTATAAGGATAATCAGAAAGCCATCTAAATATGGAAAAAATAGCTGGATTCATACCTATACCTTTTACTCTGACATATTTTGAAAGGAACAAAGATTTAAAATGTTTAAGAAACTATAGGAAAAGAAGATTTGGAATTTTCCAGCAGTAGAGAAGACCTTTCCAGTTAACTAGGAATCATACTATAATACTCATAAAACAAAATTAATAGAGTCAGTTACATCAAAATTCTTTTTAAAACTCCTACATTGAAAAAAAATAGAGAAAAGACAAAATCCACAAACTGGAAGGAAAAATTACAACTCATTTAACAAAGGATTTGTGTTCCTAATATATAAGGAAATCCTAGGGGGAAAAAAGCAAACAGCAACCTAGTAGGAAAATAATGGCAAAGAACATGAAAATTTCAGAGGAAAAAGGGAAGTATTGCTTAAACATATGAAAAGAATGCATCCTCAATCACAATAAGAAAACACAATAAAAGCCACCCTCAATATCATTTTTACCTACTGGATAGACAAAAACCCCTAAAATTTGACAAAACACTATTTGTGAGGATAGGAGACTTTTATAATTGTTCATGAAAAGATAAATAGGTACAGTCCCCACAGAGAACAATTTGTCTGTATCTTTTTAAATTACAGATGCATGAATCATTTGACCTAGTCATTCTGTTTTTTCAGAATTTATGCTAACAG